CTAAAGTGAACTAAATTAACTGAATTAAACTATTTCCCTAGGCTCTCTGAAGTCAGGGCAATGTAACTCATCCTAAAATAGATGCTAAATGTGTGGTTTCATAATCTTTGAAGAAGCTCATAAACCACAATCCTTGCCAAAACAGACTGTTCCTCTCCAGCCCCATGCCTGCCACTGCTCCTATCTTCTGTGCCAACAGTCATATAGCTAACAGTAAACTGTACCAGCAAACTGAATGGGTTAAAAATTAGCTGGCAAAGGTAAAAACGTTAATTTAACCACGTGGTTAATTCACCACGTGGCTGCACAAATCCCCAGCACAACAAAAGGGGCCAGACTGCTTTAGTATGGTGGCAATGCCAGCTTATGCTTAAGTAAAGCTGTAATGTACCTGGTGAAGAAGATGGGCAGTATGACTTGCTTTCCATTTCTCTCTCTCTAGCATGGACTGTTAGGAAAATCGATTTAGTCAGATTAGACTAAATGTCATTTATATAAAACTAAAGTTAAAGGAAATGACTAGTTAGGTGTACTACATTGTCTGACTAGGGCAGTCCTAACTGTATTAAAATATTTAACCCAACAAATCAACATTTCTTAAAATCAAAGGACCAAAAGCAAATGAAACAGTTATCTGCATACACAGAAGAGTAACTTTTTTGTTCATGAAATACAAGCTCCCCCTCACGGTCAGACCATAATGTGCATCACTCATCCATAAATCTAAAATCTGCAAATCCTGTGGGTAAAAAACAGGATTCACTTACTCACTTTTGTCAGCTTCAAACAGCATTTACAATATAATTATCAAAATGAAAATGAAAGCCAAACAATTCATTATGTTTTCCAAATTCACTTAGTACTTCAAATATTCTGTAGTGTAGCAAAGCATAAGAAATCAAGAGTTTTTTAAAAATCACTGTAAGTGTATACGCTGCTTTTAGCTCAGGATTTCTAAAAAGACTTGGACAAAGATTGATTAAAATACTCCTCAAACTTCTGTTGTAACAGTTCAGTATTGTTCCTGGTAGATCATTACATGATGCTAATGTCTTTTAATGGATTGATTGTTGGGAAGTAACTAGCAAATCACAACAAACAGAAGATCTATGTTAGCTCTGCTTCTCCTGAACTTTTTTCTCTGGCAAACTTACATTTACACTGGTATTAGCAGACATGCACTTACCATTATAATACTGTACCACATTCAGACATTATTGATATGAAACAAATTTCCATATACTTTATGGAACTAAATGGGCTCTTAAAGGAGGCTAATTTAACTTCATATATTTTCTACTGCATGTGTTATCAATGTTTCTCCTTCAATATTCATGCAGAACACAAAATAACACATGAAGTCAAAAGTCACCTTAGAGCGTAGTAGAAATCAAACATCATTTTGAAGTAGCAAAACAGTAATTCTGTAATAAACTAAACTTAGGTCTTGCAAAAAATCAAACCAGCTACAGAAATTCTTTCTCCTTACTGTTTCATGGACAACAGCAAAATGATTAACATCCTGCAGGCAATACTGTGTATTTTTCTTTCTGTCAGCTTCACTTTTAAAATACCAGTTCTCTAGGGACACAAGTTATATCACAGGTAAGCTGTACTAGGAGTCAGAATAAACTTGTGACAATTAATTTCTGTCAAACATATAGAACCTCACAGTAGTATATATAAAGAGCTGATAGCAATCTCTGCACACATCCAGGTAATAGTAGCCCAGCAGAAAAGAGATTCCAATACTTTCTCTTGCAGTTGTCTCTGAAATTTTGTATTCAGGGTACTACTCACAAAGCAGGAATACTAGGCATAATTTTGACATACAGCCTGTTTTGAGTTAATATATGGAATAAACTACTGAAAATAAACTCAACAGCACATTTCTGCTAGTATGATTCTTTACATTAGAAAGTATATTTATTGTGTCAAGTACAGCCCAGAAAGTACTAGGCGTTCTTTTCCCCAAAATGCAACAGCTTCAGTAGGAGGTTTGGCCCTTAGAGGACTGTCTGCTAATGTTTTGTAAAAACTGCATGCAAACTAAACTGTGTTGCAATTAACTCTGTAAGCGTACTCTTACGTTAAAGGAATTATATGTGCGATACACTCAGGGGAGGGGCGAGAAGCCTGACGGCTCTCTTGTTTAACAACTCATCAGTTCTGAAGAGTTCACATGGATTCTTTTGTCTAATATTATTTCATATTCCAAATTGCACTGCCCTGAGGGCAGCTGTGTAATAAGAAATGATCTATTTTTTATGAGGTTACTTATATTAAATTCTTTGCAATTTAATCTAATGAAGACATATGTAGAAACTAATGTATTCTTTTTGTTCCTACTCATACCTGGCCTTTCCACTAATTTAATATGTAACTAAGCTAACTTTTGAAACACACTTGTATCATCTTCAGTGTTACATATTGCAGACCTAAAATATTTTTTTTTTCGCATAAGCATAAATACAAAAACTGAATTTCCTTTCATGAATTATAGGTTACCTGTTATGAAATAATATTAGCACTTCCAAGAAGGGACAAAAAGATACTCTGAAATCAGCAGCAATTCAGAAGTTATGATTATGAGAATCACTAAGATATGTTAAGATAGCATATCCCGAAGTCACACCCATTAAATGTGTTCAGTCATTTTACCATTTTCTTCTGGTAATATTCGGCTCCCTACCCTGTTTCAGAACTAAATCCAGATGAAACAAACATCACTGTATAAGTCTAGAGACTGAAGGACAGGCCTAAGGCCAAGAAATGATCCACTGGGTTGGCAAAAGTAAGCATTGAAATAAGAAACATTTTTATTAAACAGCAGTGTTCAGTGAAAGTAATAATATACAGCTGTAGTTCTAATAGAAGCAAAGAATGCTCACTAGTGAGTATCAGTAGTTAGTTATACTTTACAAAGAAAACATAGGTTTACTTGTTTGCTAAATTTGACTGTACTATGACTTTGTCTACTAGGAAGGACTATCAAACTGAAAAACAAAGGTTGAAATCTGATCTCACCTTTACTTGTCTAATTCTGATCAAAATCGGGTTCACTAGTCTAAGATGTGTAGAAAATAACTCATAACAAACTCCTTTATTTCCTGTAGTTAAAAGATATTTGGCTCTCCATGTCTAGCAACTTCAATTATTTTGGAGTTCTTAACTATAAACTTCTCAAAAATTAGAAGTTACTGTCACTAACAGAAACCATTCATCTCCTTTCACAAGATGTATTGAAAGGAAATACAGCTTATTAATTATCTCACTGTTTATAAAACAGCATCCATACAACATTCTGTCATCTTTAAAAGAAATGTAAAGACAAACTCAGAGACAAGGATGAGGAAGCATATCGCAAAGGACTGAAGAAATACTTGGTAGAGTCAATCTTTGAAATAATTACAGGATTATTTGACAACCAAAGCCTCTCTGGAACTGTAAGAACTGTTCAAGTTCTACCATGCTGAATATTAGAAACACTTTTCTATCAAGCGCTGCTTAAAATAATAAAGCATTGCCTGATAATAGCATAACCAATTTGGTAAGCTGAAAATCTCACACTCTTCTATTCAACCTTTCTTTAAAATGTAAGTTAAAAAATACTAAACATTTTCTAAAAGGACTTCAGAAAGTAAACTAATGAATTGCTAGAGAAAGCACTGTATTAAAAAAGACACTTTCCATTTTTTCTCTGTACTGGACTGCAAAAAGGTGGCGTGACAGTTAGCAGTCTTTGCTACTCTGCAAAATGTCCTATATGGGTTATTGCACTATTAAAAAATGGTGTGACCTCACATTCCTCAGAGCACAAAAGATAATTCATCAATACTGAAAAACTCCTTTTAAAGAGTCTTTCCAAGGAATAGTTGGCATTGCCGGGATAGTTGACACCAGTGAATTACAGACAGTACTGTTCTCTGAGAATTTTTATTTAATATCTGTAAACAACATAGTTTAAGTATAGACTTACAGACAGATAAAAAACTCCACTCTATCTTGTTTTGATCTACGTACTGACTGCTGTTTCTCAGCTGGTATTTATACTCCTTTTTATTTATATATTCCTACAAACTTGAACTGTATCTTTGGATGCATTTTACCTGACTGGCAAAGGTAGTGGCCTTAGCTCCACTGTTAAGATAGAACTGAGAGTTTTGCTCTTGAAGTGAACATGTGAGTACACATGCATAGTAGCATGTACCTGCCACATCTTTCAGTAACTTCTTAATTGCTAAAGGAAGGCAATTAATATTGAACAAGTCACAGACCGATTCCAGAACTGCTCCAAAAAAAAAAAAATTTCAGGCTAAAGCAGTACAGAATCCAAATCCATTACTCTGGCAGATGAGTCATGTCCTTCTCCTGAATTCCACTTATCCTCCAGGGGTACAGAGAAAGTCCAGATTTTACTTTACCCATATACAGAAGTGTATGTATAATGTACATATTTATACCTATACATATATGTGTGTGTGTATATATGCACTTACACATGTGGGAGTGGTAAGTTACAGTTAATTCACTGAGATTTAAGAGTGATATGTATAACACACAGGAAACACAGAACTCCTCAGACCATGGAAAAGGAAAGAACATCACCGTGAACACAAAGGAAAGAACTATGTCAGGTAAGACACATCAAAGATACAGTTCTTAAAGTCAGTAAGTATGAATATACAAATAGAAGTATCAGCTGAGAAACAGCAGACAGTACTTGGACGAAAACAAGGTAGAATGGAGTTCTTATATCCACCTACAAATCTGCACTACAGTTTTTACACATACTAAATAAAAAGATATCAGAGACCAGTACTATCTGTAATTCATTAATATCCTTTTGAACTACACTGGGAAATTCATTATGTAGCCTTTGCAGTTGTTAAAGGTAAATTAATGTTGACTAAGTTAGCACCAAGTTATCTTTGTGCTCCACTCTCATCTAGATTGCCAAAAAGTCTTTAAAGCACTTAAACTAGGTTGACATGTTGTACCTGCTATTTCCATAAGTACAGTTGTATGATCATTTTCTGCCAGCTTCACAAATCCAACTTCATTTTTGAAGTGATCAATTCCTTGAAAAGACAAATCCACAGTTTTTCCTTTCAGGAGATCTTCTACAAAATCCTTGCTGTCTGAAAGAGCACCAATTGCTCTGTCAAAAGAAAAGAAAATATCTATGTGAAAGTCAAATACATTAATACTGTTTACATTTCTATTAATCATTGTATCAAAAAAATCTCACAAAGTTTATTATCTACTCAGGTACTTCTGCACTACTTCCTATCAATGCAACCAGTATTATTACTACCGTTTTATAAAGGTAAACTGGTCCATACATCTTGCTATAAAACCACAGAAATAACAAGGCAGACGTAGCAGCAGGTGTAATTCCTCAGAAGAGTTTACCTCAGTACTCAAGGTGACTAGATATTAAGATGATAGTGTCTCCATTACTTTGTGCATCCCATTTAACTAAGATGTTTACTCAGAAGCATTTGGTTTTCCAATATTAAATTAATGAAGTTTTTTCATCTCCTGATAGCTCAACTGAATACTCTAAGATTCTGCTTCATTCAAAGTTACTACAAAGTGTTACTTAATATTATAAACAGAGGTTAGTGATATTATATATATATATAAATAAAAGGCTAACATTATATGGAAATTACTATTAAGCTCATGGAGAACTGTTATTAAAAGAAGTACTATCTAAATTGATGCTTATTTTCTTTAAGAGATAAGCAGCTTGCACACATAATGTATATGTAACTTAAGAAATAGGAGCAAGACTGGTAACCGTTTAATAATCATTTTAATTAGCCACATTAAGCGTATGTATGACTACACGAAATATTTGCTTTGACCTGCACTTGAAGTGATTCATGTGCTATACAAAAATTATATAAACATCCTTAGTGTCTTCTAAAAGATCTCTCGCACGCTCACAGTTTTTAATTCTATTCAACGAAACTGAATTTAAACTTTTCACTAAACGGCTGTTGCCTTTGCAAACGCAAGATGGCACTAACAGGTTAAAAAAAGCTCCAGAGGAGTTTATTTTACTTTTTCTGTCCTAGTTGGATAAAAGCCATCACCATGATTTCTAAAGTAGGCCAAATTATATTTTTGAAGCCTGCACAATTACAAACAACTCTACACACGTTTCCATTGTGTTTAACAAGATGGACTCTTGATGAGAACTATGCTTTTCATTGAAAGCTAGGCCAGGTTAAGAAAGATGTTAAGGCTGATTACATGACAAAATATCCTTGACTGATACAGTTCTCCTGTGTTTTTTTTATAGGGCTTTAATCTATAGCCTAGAACTACTTTAGCTCCTATGTAACCACTTTAAACAATAATGCCATTACTTGTTCCCTGGCAAAGATACTTTTCTTTGAGCACAGTCTCTGCCACTTATCTACCCTTTTATCACCATTAGACAAACCTGTTCCTGTGTCTTCCATATGTGCTATACATCAAGACCTTTCAAAAACACCATCTAATACTGATTATACCTGTCAGATTACTTCACAGGTAATCACGTGTAGATTTATTTATTGACACAAACCTGAAAACTTTTCTGAAACAAGTACAGATACTTCAAATACACTGTGTCAAAGATTGCAGTGGGCTTTCAAGTAGTGAATTATGCACATACCTAAAACCCATCTCTGGATATTTTGCATCTGAGAACTGGTACACAGAGAGTCATGGAAAGCTCTGTTCCCCAGCTGAACAAAGATTTATATTTCCACACTGTAGGGTGTGCTGCAGAACTCGCTGACCAGCTCAGCTCTACCTGATGAGGTCTATGAAAGGTCAATTCAAACACCGCAGTGAGTTTTCAGTTTAGCACTGTGTCACTGAAGCATATTTTGTATTTTCATATTCTATCAATCACTTTATAACATCTAACAACTGCTTTGTAAGAACAACGCACAAAGACAAACATTTCCACTGAAGTCAATAGCAAAAAACACAACAATGGTATTTTCTCGCTATTCCATACCAAATAGTATTTGCAATACCAAATAGTAGTTATGCTCAGTGCAACTAACGCACAGGGATAATAAAAAAATTTACAAGTATTTTGCTCTGAAGTAGAGAATGGAAATAAAAAAAAAAAGAATTAAGCAGCATATTCTAAGTGAATACAGACTAGGATTATAGAAGCAGTGCCTGTTTTTTTCTATATTGTGGTAATGTAAATATTATAGCACTTAAAATTGATGTAGTTGAATTATCAATTTCGATTACTTGTTAGGAAAAGCAACCTTGTAAAAAAAGCCAAACTGCATCCTTTCAGCTGTCATATTTATAATGAAAAGGTTAGATTCAGAGTCTTTGACAGATAACAAGCAAGAAGAATTTGACACTATAGTCTGATAATGAAGTCATTTACTGCAAAGGCAGGCACCCTGACTTCTAGTACCCGATCCCATGACTATGCATACAGTTAGCATGAACCAGAACTCCTTTGCTTGAAGGGAATGCTGTCATGACTCTTAATTGCTTGCTTTCTTTATGGTTTTTAAGATCTCACATTCTTGATTTCATATAGCCTTACAAAAAGAGATGTAAAGTGCATTCATGAAGGCTAGACCACAGACAATCAGTCAGGAAACTCGTATGGGAATTGCAGGTCTGGATTCCCTTAGAAGGAGTGGCCTAGAATACAGATCTTCCATTTTCAGGGTTCAAGCTGTATGTACTAAAATACCATACAAAGGGCTTTCTGCTGAATTGAATGTTATGTTTAGCACATTCTTATCATGCATTTTGACTTCAAATAGCATTCAACACATTTCATTTCTGTATAGACAGAGGCACCATTGTGCAAACACAGTAGAAAAACTGTAGGTATCTAAGTAACTTAACGGATGCAAACCTAAGGATTTGTGAACTCTCAGATGCCCAGGTGACTAGCTGCACTTTGTCTGAGGGATTACTCTCACCCTATGTTACACACAGGTTCTTTTGCCAGCCTGGATCTTGGCTTCTTTCGATTAGCCTGCTATTAAAAATTGGTGAAGCAAAGAAAGGAAAATTCAACTTTTTACTCTTCAAGTTCTCCCAAAAGATTAAACAGAAAACATCAGTTATGGAAAAAAAAAAAAAAGAATCCCATATAATAGAAAATACAATCTAGAATACCTGAGGATAGCTGAGCTAGATCCCTACAGGAGGCATCTGGCCAGGGAAGGAGTGAATCTCTGGGGAAGCTGCTGCTGACTAAAGGACAGCTCCTGGGTGCCTGGACTGTGGAGTTCTGCTGGGAGAGGCAGAGAAGAACTCCGTAAGTGTGTGCTTGTGTGGCAGTCAGACAACGAAGGCTGCAAAGGAGCTCAAGCAGTAGCAGAAGACATTGAATTTGAGAATATTTGTTTTGATATACAGTTTAGGTCTCTCAAAAAATATTCATGCGGCAGCATACTTGCCTTTGAGATACCCTCTCAGATTCCTTTTTCTAAAAGTTCATACTTCAAACCCTTTTTAAAAAAATCTCAAGCACACAAGTCAGTGGTTGTTCTCACTGATTTTCAGGTGCTACCACAGTTTGCCCATCAACCAGGGCACGAGCAAGGTGGTGTGCCTACTCCAGGAGACAAAGGGCACATGGAGAGGAGAAGGAGTCCAGCAAATCTAGTATCCTTTGCTTTCCTTTCTATTCTCTGTTCCTGGCTATCTGTTTCTCTCCCTTCAGATCGCTGGAGACAAAGATGCTGACAGACTTGCATCCTCACAGGTGAGGTGAGAGTGCAGAGGCCTCAAGGATATAGCATTTAAGGAAACAAGTGTGAAAAACAAGCAGGACAACTGATTTAGATACACCTATATCTCATCATTTTTAGGTGCATTAAATGTTTTGAGCCAAAATACTTCTACTTACTAGCAGCATGCCCCTGACTACCAAATGGTTCCTACGTTCTATCTTGGATTCTTGCTTTCTTATGAGCAACTTGCACTTTAACAGTCAAACCTTCTGGGGGAAAAAATTATTCAACATGCACTTATTAGACACATTATTTTGTAACTGTATTACCATAACCAAAGCAACATCTCACTGCACTTCTTGGTTATTTGATCTAGATAATTCAGTACATGGACCACATGCCTGCTAACACTGCAGAGAAAACCAGTAAGATAAACGTATATGACAGAGGGCCCCTGAAAGAACTCATCTGGGAAAAATGAAACCGTGAGGCTTCTCTAACAGAATTATAAGAGTCTGATGAATTTCAACGCATTAGCAATTCACCACAAAATTGACACATAAGCAATGGAGGATTCCCAGGTTCATATAATGGTCGTAGGCCATTTATCAGCATTTTACATAATACTCTTTTTCAGTTACCAAAGTGTTTGCAATCTCAATTCTGCAACTACAATGTGCGAATATAGAGACATCACATATGCAGGCCATTGGGCACCACATCTAAACAGAAACCGTTGAGAAAGTCTGTGTAAAGCAGGACTATAAAATACAATGTCTGTTTTCATTTCATGTCAAAACTACAGCTAGACACATAAATTATTATTCTGAACATTCATAAATTACAGCTGTCTAGATGAGACTCAAAAGTCTGAACATCTTCATATTAACCATTGAATTCTGAAAGTTCCCTGTTAATCTCCTCAGTGCACCCTATATCAAAACTTTGTTTTAAAATAATTACTATAGCAAACATGAGATTTGTGCACGCAAGTTCAGCATACAGTAAGAAAAATGCAAGGGAAAAAAGTATACTTTGTTCAGAGCTCATGACATACCATAAACTATAAAAATGGCTAATATTAAGATTAGGATTTTAAGAGCAACATGAATTAAATGTTCAGTAACCCTAGTAATTTAGGGTTTTGCTGGGTATTGCAAAAAATAAGGATCAGTTACCCCTTCTAGTCTTTTTATTAAGTCCTCCATCAAAAGCACTTGTATATACTTAAGTTAATACCAAATACCTACATGCTAATTTCATCCTCATTGGATAAATGCATCACAAACATGGTGACATGCAATGAGCCAGGGTGAATCATTGCTTTGGAAAGCCTTTGATCCTTTTGTATTATTGCATCTTGGACAGCCTGAATACTGCCAGTAATCTGGGAAGAAAGACAGACACAGAAACAACAGTTAGCCACTACAATTACTGTATCCCATCATGCAAGTGAACAAGAAAGCACACAAACTGAAATCAAACGTTTATGTAAAACCCATTCTAGCAGAAGGAAGTTTTATCCTCTGACAAAGCTGTGCTAATTGACCCGAGTAAACCCAAAGTGGGTACAAATGCAGTGATTAATAAATCACAGGACACTCCCCATCACATCTTAATAGGAGTTTACTTCTATAAGTATGATAAATTCCTGGAGCAGATTAAGATAATCCAGTTTTACACTGCCAGTAATCCAAATAAAAGGTTTCTTCAAGGACTTTCTCTGCCCACTTTGCTAAACTTGTATGCTGCTATTTGCAGACAAGTGTCTGGAAAAAGAAAGAGATCTTTGCAGGACCGGGCGCATAAAAAACAGGAACATTCAGTAAATAATTCGTAGAGGTATCTGATTTACAATTCTGATTATACCATCCAACAGACAGATATAATTTATATACTCTCTTCAAACATATTTTTATGAATTACCATATAACATGAATACAGTTCTAACTTCATCAGTCTTCATCTTTACAATTATTTGAATTAAATTTTCTTCATTGACAATTATTTGTATGGTTATACGTGCTTTATAAATTGTATCCAAAATGTTTGCTGTGCTTGCCATTATGATAGTTGTATTGTAGTGATTTAAAAAACAAAACAAAAAAACCCTGCAATAATTATTGAATATGTTAGTAGAAATTAAATCAAAGCAAATAACTGTGACCATCTGACAAAATGAGTTATTTCTTAAAGCACGGTAAGCAAAGACATTACAGACAAATCAGCTTTGGTGTATAAAGTCTAAAAGAAGCATGTAGAAAATTTCAATATGATTTTTTTATTTTTATTTGAAACTCAGTGGTGAATGCATCACAAATACACTGTACATACTGACTTTTATAACATAAGCACAAGTAGCTCTTAGGTTAAAAAAAAAAAAAAACAGCCTTGCTATAT